AGTTTCTTGAGTTTTAGGGTTTTGTTTCGGAGAATTTGAGATGGAAATTGGAGTAGAAAACGATGATTTGTTGTTTGACGAGCTGACGAATTTTGCTTCTCATTATGGATGATGACGAGCTTCCGATCGTTCATACGGTTTGTTTTGACTCGTTGGTTTTGCCCTTTCGATTCATCCCTGTTCATTTATACGACTATTATTCAACTTGAATGTAGTACGTTTAGTTCTTCACTTTGGGTTAGGTTTGTGTTTGTTTATTGTTTATTGAATCTATACTGTTAACATTGTTTGTTTAGAGAGCCAAGCTATTAGATTGGATATATTATGTGAGATCCCACATCAGTTGGAGAGTGGAACGAAGCATTCCTTATAAGGGTGTGGAAACCTTTTTCTAGCATACACGTTTTCAAAACCGTGAGGCTGACAGTGATACGTAACGGGCCAAAATGGACACTATCTGCTAGTGGTGGGCTTGAGTTGTTGCATATTTCATTCGAAAGTTTAGAGTATGAATAGTGAACTAGCTACCCATCAAGTCTAAACTCAGAACTCATCACTTAAAGGACCTTTAAACATTTAGAGGTCATGCTTATAACTCGACCTATTATTAATGTTTCAGGATCTGATTAGGTCAGTACACCGAGTCCAAACTGAGCAACTTCCATTGATGGTGGCTCACAAACATGTTTTCGTAAGGGAGAGCAAAGGTACTGGAGTTTTCATCCCAACACAGTTACCGCTGTCGAGGAAGAAGCAGAAGAATGCCACTAGCTATGAAATTAAGTTCGGAAAATAAGAGATTCAATCATCAACGATCTTTTAAACCAAAAAAGGGTTAAGCTTATAAATTTTGTAATCCTTTTTAATTATTTCAAGCTTTTAGTAATATATTAATATTTAATTATTTAATAACTTGAAAGTTATATGTTGAGTAATGTCTAGCTCGATTTTTGTCTATTTTTTCTTCTTGAAATATGATTAAAAAAATCGGCTTATAAAATTTCTTTAATAATAATAATAATAATAATAATAATAATAAAAAATTCTAAGATAAATAATATCATTTGATTTAAAACGAGTTAAAACCCATTTTTCCACGAAAAAAAAATAATGAACAAATTAACCAAAATTCATAAATTTAGATGATTGTCACGAAGATGTCAGAATAGACACCAGGTGATGTGCCAGTGTGAGGAGGCTGAGCCCTGAAGGTAGGTGGACACGAGGCGGTGTGTAAGCAAGGTCACTGAACCCCGAAGATCCACGTCAGTTGAGGAAGAGAACTAAGCATGGTGTGGAAACTTCTTTCTTGCAGACTCGTCTTAAAAATCTTTAGTGAAAGTTCGAAAAGAAAACCCAAAGATGACAATATCTACCGAATCTATTAGAAATTTAAAAATGACAATATTTATCTCGATTTTGAACGGTAATTTATTTAAATTTAAAGTTTGAGGGTTAAAGTGAATATAACCTGTAAGTGTAAGGTCACCAATTTAAATCTTTAATTTTCGTAATTGATTCAATCACCTTAATAAAATTATTATTCTAAAAAAATCCTTTTTTTTTTTTTAACATTTATTTTATTTTATTTTTTATATTAAAAAAATCTTTTCATATTTATTTTAAAAAATAAAAATTCCTTTTCATATTTATTCTTTTTTTCTCTCATCCTGCGTCTCCTCCCTCTATAGTTGAGGATCTTGTATCAGCTAGGCTTATCTATGGCGTCCGCGATTCTGAAGCGAGTCAGCGCCTCCGCGAAGAGCACGCTGGTTGAATCTATGCGAAGCAGAGCGTCATCGCGAGCCTTTGCGGCGGTGGCGATCGGAACTGACATCGTTTCCGCCGCACCGAACGTTTCTCTCCAGAAGGCTCGGAGTTGGGACGAAGGTGTCTCCTCCAAGTTCTCGACGACTCCGCTTAAAGATATTTTCGAGGTTTGTTCTTCGGTTGTTCGTGTATTTCTTTCGAGGTTAATTGTGTTAGTTTTTGAAGTATACTTGTGCTTTTTATGAAAAAATATTGATTGTTCATGAAATTTAGGGCTTTGAAGGCCACATTTGAGCTTAATGTTATGTTTTACGCTTTACATTGAATGATAGTTTAGTTTAGTCTAGTCAGTCTTTATCTTATTGATTCATTGGCCATGATATTTCAGGGCAAGAAGGTCGTCATCTTTGGGCTTCCTGTAAGTCAATCTATTCAGTCTTGTACAATTGTATATATGCTATGAAATCATGGATTCTATACCAAATTGTTGCCGATGCATGTGTTTTCATCTCTTTTTCTACGCGGTGTGCTCTTTGATTGGGGCTACAATTTTTGTATGCTCACTTTCATGATCAATGCCTTCATCCAATCCGTTAATGAACTGAGGATTTATTGTAGAGATCAGTAAAACAATGTTTCGTGGTTTACATTTCATTTCTGACCTCTTAAAGATTGATACTTAGGAAGAAGAATTGTTAAATTTGTTACCACGAACTTTATTTTGTTCTCAGTAGAATAATCTATGATTTAAAGAATTATCAACTTTACGAAGTCGTGAATGTTCAAAATTTCCCCTAAATTCTTCTCCCTGGACAAACGCATTTGGTGGTATGGAGATTTGAATCCTGGCGGGACCTCTATTCCAAACTAGTTCTTACCAGTTGGAATTTCCCTATGGGACTTAGATACATATTAAATCATATAAAGATCAAGAACGACATCATCCTTACCAATTGATGATGCACATTTTAAAGTCGGTATTCCAATTCACAGGGTGCATATACAGGAGTTTGTTCTCAGCAGCACGTTCCCAGTTACAAGAACAAAATTGATGAGTTCAAGGCTAAAGGAATTGATTCTGTTATTTGCGTGTCTGTTAATGATCCATATACCCTCAATGGCTGGGCTGAGAAACTTGAAGCGAAAGATGCTGTAAGCTTCCTTGACCAGAGTTATATGGAAACTGCATAATTTTCTTTACTTGGTGTGTATAATTTAGTTATTTGTCAGTACGAACTGTCTTCTAATGGCCTATTCTGATTGTCTTAATTGCATTGTCCTGTCGTTATTCTGTTTATTCCTGCATAGATACAATTTTTTGGGGACTTCGATGGAAGATTTCACAAGAGCCTGGAACTGGATAAAGATCTTTCTGTTGCTTTGCTTGGTCCTCGTTCTCAAAGGTACGATCAATCTCATCTTTGACATGCCAAAATATTTATGGATTATGATTATTTAGCTCTTCTTTGATAACCACCTTATTTTTTATTTTTGATTCTTGAGAATTAAGTTTATAAATACTACTTCCATTTATCAGTTTTTTTGATTTGTTATCTTTTTGAGGATATTTTCAAGATTTGACAACTAAAAGTTTTAAGAAACTTGTTTTTGTTTTTGAGATGTGACTATGAACGCAAATCTTTCCGTAAGAAAAATGAAAAGAAATTGTGAGAAAATAAATATAATTTTTAAAAACTAAATGGTTATCAAATAGGTAGACATTTCTACACTCTTTGACATCCTTCTTCCCTGTAGATGGTCAGCATATGTTGTAGATGGCACAGTTAAGGCTCTTAACATAGAGGAAGCTCCATCCGACTTTAAGGTTACGGGGGCAGATGTCATTTTGAACCAAATTTAGAGTCAGTTTCCATTGCAACCAATTCAAGGTCTTGGATTCCGAATAAGACCATGGGTGTAACTGAGTTGTGTATGACAAAGGTTTTCTTTTGATTTTTTTTGTTGGTCGGAAGTAAAATCCCATGTGACGATTGCTTGGCAGCTTGGCGTCCACTTATTGTTCTTCATATATAAAATGTTCTAACTTGGATTCAGAAACACAAAAATTTGGAAACGAGTATTCTTCAATCCAAATCATCACTTCTCGATTGGAATAAACAGTAAGTACATAGAGAAACAGAGCAAGGTTGGACCTTGGCCAAATCCATGCAAATTTAGGTATAGATCTTCTCCAGTTGAGGGTGTGGAGAAATTTTTAGCCTCGAATTGGGTTGGTCTTGGTTTCATCATCCGATTCTATTATTACTTAAAATTGATCGAGTGGAATGTTTCAAGTTGATTGAATTTCTTTATCCAATCCTTATAGCTGGTAAATCAGTTTGAAAATCGATAGAAGAGGAAACTTTTAGTTGTAGATTACTAATCTTTTTATTGAATTCAAACTTTTTTTTTAGTTCAACAATTGTGGGACTGGAGTGATTGAGCCACCAACTTTTAAATCATCGTTGGACCTTTAGTGCTGAAAATTGAAGTCTTGAATATTTGAGACATTGTTCTTCACAATCATGGGCCCTTTAAATCACCCATCGACTTTCAGCATTATTGATCACTTCAATTTCTTCGGAAATCAGATGGCATGTGGCTCCATATTCCAGTCTACCAATATCATTCTATAATCCATTCATATGTAGTTATTTAAAGAGAAACAACTCGTGACTAGGATGTCTAGTGACCCGACGTAGACTTCTCCCAAAGGGGTTGATAGACTTTTTCCCAAGCTAAACAGGCATAAGGATGGTGATAATATTTCATGTTCCCGTCTCATTCTCAATCTCTGCTTCATTTTCGTAACGTATATATATTTTGGAAAAAGACAAAAAATTCAAAGAGACTATCTCTAAAGTTGTTCAAAGGTAGTGTGGAAGCAGTGGGAGAAAAAGAACTTATTCTTGCACATCTTACTTACTTTCCTGTCTATTCCTTTGAACACGTTCCTTATGAATCCAATTACCAGCTACTGGCGTTCAACAAAAGTTATGAACATTTAGAACAATTCTAATCTTACAAGTAGCAAAATTGGCAAGGGAATCAAGTTCTGAAACAGCACCTTCAAAGTTCCTACCTAAATGGTCAATTTAAAGCCCGAATTCCCTTTCAGAATAGAAACCAGCATCTTCTTTTATGTTCTTCCCTTGAAAGAAGAATTAGATATAGGAGTTGGTTATTCGTTCAAAGCTTTCCATTGATAGTGAAACACTTCAGTCCCAATCTCAATGAGAGAGAAAGAAACTCATCCACATAGAAATAGAGTATCATGAAGCAGAACATCATATATATATATATATATATATATATAGAATTACTATGTAAACTACGCCTTTTTCATCACTAGATTTATATGAAGAAGAAAATGCAGGACTCAAACCAACTGGATGTTGGTTAAATCATAACAAGTCGCTTGCCACAGTATGCTTTCTGCTGAGTTGAGTTGAGTTGATAAGATGTTCATCTGGATGAGTGTCAAATCCTGATTTCCACACTTCAATTTCCTCTCTGCCAAAAGAGATGATTGATAATCAATAAAACACATCAAACATATATATTATGGAGCTTTTCACATAAGTATGTGTGATTCTCAGTATGAACTACGCACGTATAATGGTCGTTTACAAAGTTAACCTGGAAACAGGTATAGGTTGGTACCGGTTCGTGTTTAAAATTGTCTAACGACATGAAGGGAAGTACCTGAGCTAGAGAATCATTGACTGAGCCTGGAACGGTAGGAGAAACATGTGAGGGTGAACCAGTACATATTCTGTCATTTTTTACTGAACCATCTGTGACACCACTTTCTTGCATTACTACGTTCTTTCCTTTCATGGAGTTTGATGTACCTCCACTGCAGCTGAAGAAGGAAACAGAAGCAGCATTCCTTTTCGAAGACAAATCTAGGCGATCGATCATTCGAGCAACACCAGCAATCCCAGCACTTACTTCACGCTTCACTCCTCTGCTTAGCTCCTTCACGGAGCTGTTACGAGCAAGCAGTTTCTCCTTAATACCTTGAGTGCTTCGCCATATTGACTCCTTGTACCTGTATTGGTACAATTTAGAAATCTTGATATGCATCATAGCATTGATGAGGTATCATGTAGAAACTAGTTTAAGAGAAGCAAACTCCCATTACACTTACTTTGCAGAAGTAGCAGACCATTTGGATTTGATGGAATCTGGGAAAGAAAGCCCCTCAGGTTGGTTTGTTTTCTGTTGACTACCCGACAATGTCTCAGTCAGTAAAACCCTATATGACAAAGAAGATGTAGGTTAGACAGCAAAAGAAACGAACGCTTTACTCGTTTTGAAGCTTGAGGGTATCTTGAGTATTTCTAGCAGGGCACTTTCTCTTCTACAGTTATTTATTGTTGGTGTTAAGAGCAAAGCATGAAATAGATACATTAGTCCGGGGACGTAAAATACCTAGGCGAGATTTTACTAATTCCGGTTCGACCACCAGACGACAAAGGGGAACCAGGAGATGGTGAATCACTATTAGGCGAACTTAGAGTAGCATCTTGAAATCTAGGTGACAAGGGACATATTAGCACTGGAACCTCTTCTGGACATGCAGAGACACCTTGTGAAGGTCCAAGTCCAAAATGTCTTTGCCTCTCCCTTCTATGAACATACCGAGCTCGGCTAGCTGCAGCAGCAAGATGCTGCATAATCAGGTCATCAAAGTCAGAGTCATCTGAATGAGAGGAGTCCTGAAGGAACCAATTTTGCTTCTTAATAATAGTTGATCCTCATTGAAAGAATAAGGACGTCGAATAGATTGTCAGATTTATTAGAACTACTCACATGGTCGACATCAAAGTTTTCGTGGAAACGCAAAGAAGTGGATGCAACAGAAGACAAGCTTCTAGACTTCAAAAGCTTTTCACTAGCAATGGCTGCTAGAAGCTCCTGGCTGTAGAATAGTTGAATTAGCACTTGCTTAATTAGAAAGCTTGCATTGTTTTCATTCATTAGATAGATCGAGGGAGACATGGGCGAGGCCCGAGAATATAGAGGAATTAAACTTTCTATGACGAAGCTACATACCCAACAGGATCCCTTAACACTAGCAACTGGCAACAGATTGGGCACTCGTTGCTTCTTTGAGACCTGAAAGAATCAATAACCGAAAAGTAAGACTCGAATCAACCTGTTGTTTTTAGAAGATAATATAAACAAGGATGATCTTCAAGAAGTCTACCAATCAAGAATACATTGGAGATGATATTCATGCTTGCAACTGGTGATCTGAAATTTGAACAATAGACAAGGTTAATCCAAACATAAAGGCCACATAAACCACATAGAATGGAGCAGCAACACCATTGAGACAAAACCCCCTTAGCAAAGAGGGAGCGATGATATCGTTCATTGCTTCATTTGATCTCAACTTTCTGAAAAACAATAATATGATCAATTTGTAACAACTCAAGCCCACCGCTAGTAGATGTCGTTCTCTTTGGACTTTCTCTTTCGAGCTTCCTCTCAAGATTTTTAAAACGTGTCTGCTAGGGAGAGGTGTCCACACCCTTATAAAGAATGCTTTGTTGTTCTCCTCTCCAACCGATGGAGATCTCACAAACCACCCCCCTTCGGGCCCAAGGTACTCTTTGCCTCTAATACCATTTGTAATAGCTTAAACCCACTACTAGCTGATATTGTTCTCTTTAGCCTTTTCCATTCGGGCTTCCCCTTAAAACGATGTCTGCGAGGGAGTGATTTTCACACCCTTATAAAGAATACTCCCTTCCCCTCTCCAACCGAGGTGCGATCTCACACAATCACTTGGACAGCCAATTCCAGGCACTCACTCATCTACTTACCAATTCTAAATTGAAACTCATCACACCAAGTGGTTATCGAAACAAAGTAGCTAGACAGAAAACAAAAGAATCCCAGAACACAGCCATCACCAGAAATGAACTCACCTACATTCTACAGTGACACTCAAATCAGTTCCTACATTCTACAGTGTTCGGTGGAGAAACTAGCCGCCTGGAGTAAAAGAGTAAGAGCTAGGTGATGTCGTAGCTAAAAGATGAAGCTAATAGAATGAAGGCCAAACTATTAAGATGCAGAAGTTGTAGAGTAGGATGAACACCAACTGAAAAGAAAAAAGCAAGCAGTGAAAGGAAGACGATCTGGAAAGAGCAGCGGAAAGGAGGTTCTTACAGAGGGAGGATCGTGGGAGGTAAAAGGATCGAGGCAAATACAGCAAGCGTCGTCTTCAAAAGCATCATCGGAAGGAGGAGAAAGAGCATTGAGGGAGGAAGAAGTGAAATCCGCCATTGGAGTGCCGACAAAATCAAAAGGGAAGCCTCCTCCTTAGAACAGAACAGGAAATGGGGGAAAAACTGAAACCTAGAAAACTGTAGAGAGAGAGAGAGAGAGAGAGAGAAAGCAAATGGTCAAAGCAGAGAGTTGTGGGGGAAAAAGTCTGAAGAAATTTGCAGCAAACAAACCGATTCATACGCTTTGGTGGAACCAGTCTGCTCTCTCCTTTTTCTTTTCATTTTTTAGATTGATTTTTAATTTTGTGTTTAATAGAGGGTTAATTTAAATCACATTTTTTTTTAAATTAAAAATTAATATTTTATTACCCAAAAAAAAAAAAAACCAATTTTATACCTAATAAATTAATTAATTTTACAAAATGTTAAGAAAATTCTTAAATTTATTTTACATTTTTAAAGTTTAAGAATTTATTAGATATTGTTAAATTTTCTAAATAGTTTTTTATTGTATTTTTTGGTTTAAAAAATAAAATAAAAAATGACCCCTAAATTAGGGACATGGTACAAAATTACAAAAATAAAAGAGTTTGATAATTTATTAGATTTTTTAAAATTTTAAATATTTGATTTATACTTATATTTTTTTTTTTATATAAATGCAAAGTTTCATAAATAATTAGATTAACTTTAGATTAATATTGTATTACAATATGTTTAGTTATAATTGCTTTCTTTCTTTGCATTTTCTTCTGGAGCCTTTTATTTTATTTTTTAAAACATTTTCTATTAAAGTGACCAAAATTTTACCAATATATTATTATTATTATTATTTATAAATAATAAATTACTATATTATTCATTGATTATTGATGACTTTGACCAATCATCCATTTATTATTGGTTGTACAATCTTTTTTTTCCCTTTTTTTTTTCTCATATTATTTGTCCTTTCTTTGACAATGGAGGTGGGGAAATTTCAGCCTCATGAATTTACAAGTGGACTATTGACCAATAACTAATTATTTATAAGTTTTAAATAAATGAATTATTATTATACTTCTGTTGTCATAAATTGTAAATAAAAGAACGAGTTAAATAATAAAGTTTAGAATATATAAAATACCTTATTTATTTATTTCTAGAAATGTATGAATTTTAAATTTATTCATTTTTTAGAGATCTATTCATGTAAATTGACGAGACATCTCATGCAAAATTTAATTATATAAATGATTTTAACCTTATGTTTTGAGATAAAACAAATGGTAAAAACGATTTCATCTTGAATTGTAGGCTGCAAATTGTCTACATAAATTCAGAATTGCTAGTAACCGTCGATATAAATTCAAAATTGCTAGTAATGATCGATCAACCATACGAATTGATTCTCGGACCTTAATTGTCTATCCCTTTAAAGGATGCCCTTGTGAAAATTAGAAGTGGAAAGAGACCAACAAATTAGCCACACGTTTTGCTTGCATGTATAAATAACATATAAATAAAGAGATGAAAAAAGAAAGATGAATGGTGTGAGGAGGATCAAATCCTGACCGTTGATTTTTGAAGTTTGAATAAAGGTGGGACCAAATCTGCTGCAGGCCAAAGACTTTTTATTCCTCTTTCTCAATAGAGTCAATAAAAAGCTAAGTGCCAAAATTCTCTCTTTTTCTTTTTTTTTTTTCTTTGTACCCTCTTGTGGACCCACACTGCTTTCTTTTTGACAAATAATTCACAAAATGGGTTTTTGAAAGTGATTTTTTTTTTTTTATTATCATCTTCTGAAATTAAATTATATATATATATATATATATATATATATATATTTTTTGGTATATTATTATAGTTCTTATGGAACTTGAGATGAAATTATGAACGTTGAACGTCAAACAAAGAATGATATAATTTAAACCCACTACAACACTCCTAAAATCCCTAAAAAAAACAAGACATAGCCGCGAAGAAAGGAAAGAATACCCTTATATAAAGTTTGAAGATAAACTTTAACCCGTCTTCATGAAACTTTTTTGCTCGATACCCATTTTGTTATAAAAATTAAGCTTATAAATACTATGATCGTAGGTTTTTTTTTTTTTTTTTTTTCAAATTTCTAAAAATATCCACAAAAAAAAAAAAATCCAAACTTTTGTGTTCGTAAGTTGGCTAAGAACTCAAGTTGTTTTTTAGAAAATGAAGATCATAACGAAGAAAATGTGAGAAAATTAACCTAATATGCAAAAACAAGTAGACGAAAAAAATTCCGAAACTCAGATTAATATTAGATTTACAAATGGAAAATGTGCTCTCCTCCACCAACATGGTATTTCTGAAAAGTTTTCAGCCCAAAAAGGAAAGAAATTTCTCTCTATATCACAAACCCATCTTTAATTACTGAGTTCTTTAGTATAATGGTAATACCAGAGCGGATGTAAAAGCCTTCTGACGACCTATCTGCCTCTTGTACGCCCTGCATTTCCATGGTCAAACACATGAATAAATAACCCCAAATCCTATATTCTTTCAAGTATTTGATACACATGAATTGTTCTCTTTGCGTTGGTACGATGAATTTATATCAATACTTTTAACACGTTACCTCACTTAGAGAGTAAATGACTACTGAACCAAAGTCTTAAGCTGATGGGTAACAACAAGTTGAATTTTTTATCGATACTTTCGACACTTTCCTTCACTGTTTTCTTTTTTAGTTCAACAAATATAGCGTAACAGTCCAAGCTTACCACTAACAGATGTACTACTAACAGATATTATCTTAATGTTAGCACGTTTCCCTCCCTTCCTATTAGAGAATGAGTATATGTCAATTACTATTAAATTATATTCAATGTTGGCACGCTTCCCTCACTTCCAGTTGTGAAAATTTGTAAAAGGTCAAACAAGTGAATGTTAACATTAATCGGGGAAGATACGACAGTATACAAATTCAAACACAAAATCTCGTATTCCAAACAACTACTTTTTAGACCTAGATTGATCTTAAGAGGCTGTATTGGTTTTTCTATGGTTCTTTCAGGTTGCTAGGTGAGAAGATTTTTCAAAATATGAACAATAATGTTTCAGGTAAGCCACCAAAGAGCACGTACCTCTGAATTAGCAATAACAACGTTCTTCCCTATTCTGGCATTTTTGTCAATGATGCAGTCCCTGCTCATCGTGAATTTGTTAGGTGGTTGATAAAAACAAGAAAGCAGCAACTGAAATAAATTCGAATGAGAGATTTTGGGCTGTTACTTGATTTTTGTATTTTCTCCAATTCCAACTGGCACTCTTCCCTCTGCTAAAAGTGCACTAACTTCACCATCAGTTTCATAGAAGTCTGCTCCAAGCATTACTGTGTCCTGCCCCCACACACCGTAATTTTAGTTCCTTTTTTTGCCAAATCGATGCACGTTCGTTGCCAACGTGCGGAAGATATTGACATGATTACATAAACAGGTATATGAGATGGGATTGTGTTAACTTTGCAGTAAGAAATTGCCATTTTTCAAAGTGGATGTTAGATAAATGTGTTTTTGCAGTATTGGCAAGCAAGCTTCCAAGTTCCATGCTTCTGTTAATGGAAATGCGGCAGTTTTCAAATATAAACATACAGAGTGAAAAGTAGACTGACCTTGAGGTGTACGTTAGAATTTATGCGAGATCGGATACCAACGACACTGTGATCTATGAAACTGTTAGTCAAGAAACATCCATGTGATATGATTGAATCGACAATCTGCACGAGAATTTGAAGATATGTATTTGAAGTTAGTCGAGACAAAGTTGATGAAGTGTGGCTGCCAGTTTGAGAGATAAAACCATACTTTCTTGATATATGAACATAGAAAAACTTCTAAATTGCTAAGCACCATTTGGTTTTTCATCTAAGAACAAATTTTCAAAGGTAAGGAATACAAGAAAAGATGAGATTAGATTGTATTCATTCTAGTTCTCCAATTTGAAAATGCATTGCAGTAACTTTTAAAGACAACTATAACAATCCAAGAGCACCGCTAGCAAATATTGTCTTCTTTGGACTTTCCCTTTCGAACTTCCCTTCGAGGTTTTTGGAACGTATCTACTAGAAAGAGGTTTCCACACCCTTATAAAGGATGCTTCGTTCTCCTCCCCAACTGATGTGGGATTTCACAATCCACCCTCTTTCTAGACCCAGAGTCCTCGCTGGCACTCATTCTCTTCTTCAATCGATGTGGAACCCCCCAATCCACCCCCTTCAGGACCCAACGTCCTTGCTGGCACACCGTCTCGTGTCCACCCCCTTCGGGGCTCAATCTTCTCACTGGCACGTCACCCGGTATCTGGCTATGATACCATTTGTAACAGTTCAAGCCCACTGCTAGCAGATATTATCCTCTTTGAGCCTTTCTTTTCGGTTTTTCAAGTCAAAAGTTCAAAGAGGACAATATCTGCTAGCGGTAGGCTTGGGCTGTTCCCGCTAAATTTCAAATCCAAAACATAGAAGAATATGTTTGGAAGTGACTTTCAAAAACATAAACAATTGTACACATAATATTACATGGAACAGAAATTCATCAGGTGTAATCATTGTATTAAAAAACATATAAACAAAAACGAACACAAAGCTATTTGTTAAAGCCCACGTAGCTCAATCTGTAGTACTAAATCTTTGGTTGACTGATATTTTCCAGGATAAAAGCTTCACAAAGAGTTTCAACTACAGAGAACCAGACTGCTAACCTTGCAACTCTCGATCTTCGTTGGAGGAAGGTTTCTTCTCGAAGTGTAGATTGGCTTTGTTTCATCATAGAAACTAAATCTTGGTGGCTGAACGATACAAATCTGGCGTTACTCTCAAACTATACCATTCAAAATATTTCCCCTCTAAATATGTAAATTCAGAAATTAAAATATATTTGTATGACTATAATAAATACTTGAATAGGCAAGTCCAGTGCCTATTTTCAAACAACATTGAATAATGGAAAAAAAGAAAACCGTTATCAAACAAGCTTCAACTTCGCGCATGTTTTGTAGCATAGACCTAGAAGAAGTTTAGGCCCTGTCTGATAACCATTTGGTTTTTTGACAATTAAGCTCATGAACACTACTTTCACCCATAAGTTTCTTTATTTTATTGTCCAGTTTCTACCAATGTTTTAAAAAAAAACAAGTCAAATTT